ACAGACAAATATTCGTAGAATATCTATTTATTCAGTCAGCCGACTAATGAATCTACATACTTTTCATAAAACACACACACACACACATGCACAATACACACACACACACAAAAAAACTTTGAAAAAAATTATTTGTGTGTGTAAATCTAGTTTATCCATTTTAATTTAGGAAAAAACGTAGAATAAATAAAAAATTCATCATTGAGCGTTTTTTTTTATAAAAAAAATATTTTTACCCTAGTTTTTCCATCGCTACATATCTATCTAAAACAGTCATTCATATCTATCTATCTATCTATCTATCTATCTATCTATCTATTTTTCTATATTTATCTATCCATTTATCTCAGTCCATTCATATCTATCTATCTATCTATCTATCTATCTATCTATCTTCTATCTATCTATCTCAGTCCATTCATATCTATCTATCTATCTATCTATTTATCTATCTCAGTCCATCTGGCTATCTATCTATCTATCTTGTCTATCTATATATATATATATATATATATATATCTATATATCTATCTATCTATCTATCTCAGTCCATTCAATCTGCTATCTATTATCTATCTATCTATCTTCTATCTCCAGTCCATTCATTGAAACGCTATCTATCTATCTCCTTTACATTCATATATCTATCTATATATCTATCTTATTTATCTATCTATCTGTCTCAGTCCATTCATTATCATCTATCTATCTATATATCTATCTAAAAATATATCTAAATCAACCCTTTCATATCTATCTATCTATCTATCTGTCTATCTCATCCATTCATATCTATCTATCTATCTATCTATCTATCTCAGTCCATTCATATCTATCTATCTATCTATCTATCTATCTATCTATCTATCTCAGTCCATTCTTATCTATCTATCTATCTATCTATCTATCCTATCTATCTATCTATCTCAGTCCATTCAAATCTATCTATCTATCTATCTATCTATCTATCTATCTATCTATCTATCTATCTATCTCAGTCCATTCATTTCTATCTATCTATCTATCTATCTATCTATCTATCTATCTATCTATCTATCTCAGTCCATTCATATCTATCTATCTATCTATCTATCTATCTATCTATCTATCTATCTATCTATCTATCTATCTATCTCAGTCCATTCATATCTATCTATCTATCTATCTATCTATCTATCTATCAGTCAGTCAGTCAGTCAAAAGTCAGTCTTTTTTTCATCTACCTATCTCGATGTTAAATCTCTCTATTCATTCTATCTGTTCATATCCATCAGTCTATTTCTATTAGACAAGTATATTTATTACCGCAAATTTATTTTTACTCACGATCATATTCACACAAACACAATTATATACACATAAACACACGTGTGTTTGTGTCTTTTAGTGTGTATGTGTTAGTAAATGACTGTGCGATTGTATTGTTTCTATATTCATGCTATTCTTTTCGCTAAATATATATATATATATATATATATATATATATATATATATATATATATATAGATATATATAGATAGATAGATAGATGAATATTCATTATGAAACTTAAGTATATATAATTATTTAATATCTTTACTGTCAATATTATTTTTATGGATATTATTTATTTAAGAAAATTTTATTATTTAGCTAAACTATATTTACCAGCCTGAATGTTTAAACATTTTAGAATTAATTGTATTTATTTAAATAAACAGACAATTTATTTAAATATATTGTATCTATTAAATAACGTATATTTATAGAATTCCTGCATATATATATATATATATATATATATATATATATATATATATATAAAAATATATACTGTAATGGAAACAAATATTCGTACACATACATATTTATTGTATTTCCGACTAATGAATAAACATACTTTTTCATAAAATTAACTGTCCACTAATGCATAATAATTAATATGTAAAAAAAAAACTGAAAAAAATTATGTAATAGAAATAAATCTAGTTTATCCATTTTAATTTAGGAAAAAAGTATTCGTACTATATTATATTATAATTATTTTTAAAAATATGACACCATCGCTACATAAGTAAAAAAAAACTAGCTCTGTTTTATCCTCAAGCGAATTTCCTATTTTTCTATATATTTGCACATATCCATTTTAATGTGGGTAAAATATTCGTACAATACAACATCCTGTATTCCTATACAGAAACCGTCATTTGATCTGACGTGCTATACCATTTAGCTACAAAAAACATCTGGCTAGCAAAGTGTAATTTTAAATGCATGTATATATATATATATATATATATATATATATATATATATATATATAGTTGGAATATGCTAAGGTTAGGCGCAATCTTCGTAAAGGCAATCTTGAAACGCTTTAATCCCTTAACCTTAATCACGTACGTAATTTTATGTATTATTTTATCTTTAAATATGGGTCATCAAAGTCACCTTAGGTCTCATCAGGCTCGATCTGTTGAAAGAAACCCCAAATAAACCCTTGTGCCTTCTTGTACACTCTGCCATAAAGTATGCAAATCAACTTCTGGATTAACAAGAATCCTGAAAATTCACGTTGATGTCATGCCTGTTGGGTTTAGGAATCTCCTTTTCAGGTGCATCATTTGTGCAAAAGATTCTAAAAGTAAGACTGGTTTAAAAAGATCATCTGCGCTCAAATGATCATGAGTGTGAAAAAGATATTCTTAATTAAACCAAAACAAAGAATTTGTATCCTTTCGTCTTTCAAAGTGATAATTACCGTATATATATATATATATATATATATATATATATATATATATATATATATATGTATGTATAATTATTTAAAACAAATACGATTCAATCGCTACATGAGACTTCTCATGTCTCAAAAACAAGCTAAAAACTAGCTTTTTTCATCCTCAAGCAATTTCCTTCTCTCTCTCTCTCTATATATATATATATATATATATATATATATATATATATATATATATATTTTTTAAATATAAAGAAATATATATATATATATATATATATATAGAGAGAGATATAGATAATTGAACATATATATATATATATTTGAACATATATATATATATATATATAGATAGATAGATAG